CTAATTCCTTTTCCTCAGAAAGTTAAGGAATGCCTTTCATATACTATAGATAGTGGGAAATAGGCCAGATGATTTTTTTCCCCCTGAAAAATTGGCACAGTATTTCAAATGCATGTTCTTTGGCCTAAAGTTATTTAAGATTACTTGTCACTTTCCAGTCGAATCCTTTTGTGTCCTTGAGGAACATATTTAAGTTAATTTCCATAAAACGATACAAAGATGCAGGTAATAGCTCCTAGTTTTAAACAACAATAGGAGATTCAAGAACCTCTGTTCTTTTGTGGTCCCCTGGAAGTCTGTTTGCATTTCCAGTCAGTACATTTATTGGCTGGTCATGATGTCACAGAAAAGGGAAAGTCCTGTTCTGGCTCACATTGCGTGTGTCTACATGTGCTATTAATGCAGTTGAATAAACTCTAGTACAGTTCGCACTGAAGTTTTTTGCTCCTGGGCACCATGTTTATATGTGTGCGGGGGACCACAGCACGTTGAGCTCCATCAGGGCAGCCCTGGCTGACAGGAGGTCTGAGGGGTCAGCCTGCCAGCCCAGGGCTGCTCCTACCCAGCTCAGTGTGCTGCAGAGGGGCTGGCTGGGGCAAGAAGGTGCTTCACTGTGGGGCTAGCCAGCAGATAGCCCCCACACTAAAGCACCCTTATGCCCCAACCAGCCCCATCAGTGTCTACACGCGTGTTGCAGAGCACTAAATAATGCCTATGGCACCATTTATTAGTTTGCTGTGGCCTAACAGGACCATGTGTAGATGTTGAGATGATTGTGGAGCTAATTAGTCAGCTCCACAGTTAATGTGTCATGTAGACGTGCCCATTATCTTCTTTTTCCTTCCTTTGAGGATCACTGAAAGAGTGAACAAGAAAGGTATGAACTTCTCTTTTTCTGTGTATAAATGAACTTTCTGTCAATGGCTCTATCTGCCATTTCTGTATCTGAAAGCCTAGTTCAAGTAGTTTAACTTAGGAAGACTTTAACATTAATAGGAAACAAATGCAACATTTAATTACTTCCGAACTCAAGCCCAAATTTCTGTCTTCCACAAAAATCCTGACCATAGGCTTCAGGCAATACTCTTAAGTGAAATCAGTAATTTTCTGTGGATAATAAAGCTTCATATGAAAATAACTGATAATTTGCATCCATCTCTAGGAAGATTTTGTAAGTTATTATTCTTTGGGATGAGAGTTAGATAGCAGAGTGTTGCTTTGGGATAGTGTATGTGTAATTTTTTGACTCAGTGGACTTTAATGAGTAATGACCCATATCTCAGGTTCATCTCAGGATTTTTCTAAAAACTAGCTTAGACTTAGATCACATACAGATTTTGAATTTCTCCTGGGAGAGTCACTTCTTTCCCAGGAGAAACCACAAGTGTACAGATGTTCAGGAATTTTGTCCCAGAGTCCATTCCTGGAAAAAAATAACCTAGGAACAACCAAGGTTAACTCTCTGTGAGGAGAGTTTCTCCTGGGAGACTGAATGTTTATATATGTTCTCTTCTAAGAGAAGCCACAGGATAGTGCTCCAGCAACCCAAGATGCTTTGCTCCTCCACCCCCTGCTCTCTCCAGGGGGACAGCATGCCTGTCACTGAACTCTGCTGTTCCAGAGCAGAACACACCCCCTTCACAATTCCACATTATCCTTCAGGGAGATGCAGGTTGACTCAGCAGTCTGTGCACTGCTGCCAGGTGGCCTTGGGAGCCTGCAGAGCATGCTGAGATATGTGCACAGGGGCCCTTAGGTCTGCATTAAGCTCACTACTCTTCAGGGACTCAGTATTCAAATGCCTGTTCAGCCATCTCTGTGCACATTTTTCAACCAGGAGAACAAACCCAGGAGAACTCTCCCAGATCATTTGAACATATGCTCCCAGCCTCATTCAACCTTAGTATCTGTTTTTCTTCTGGCATCATTTTCGCCATTTCTGAAGAATCCTAAAATTGGCAAGGAATGGCTTCTGCATAAGCAACTTCATGTCCATTGTAATGGATCCAGTTATTTCATATTATTGTGCTAGGCTTTCATGAGTGATGTAGATAAACATGCTATTCCAGGTTCTTTTTCTTGGTGTGTAAGTAGGTTTTTAAATCTAATAAGAAACGTATGTGTTGATTTTTAGTTTTGCCTATGCAAGGTTCTGGGTGGTGATACAACTGTATAAGCAGCAGGAAGGGTTTTTTTTTTAGATTTAGTCTCCAATTATATTTCTTGGTACAAAGTGGCTGTCTGGGAACCAGCTATTAGTAATGGGCTGAAATTCATGATGGAAGGAATCATTTTGCCTGCTGTTTGACCAACTATGCTTCACGCCTGATGTGTCTATGAAAACTGTAAAAGATACACTTGGGATGTAACCTGCTTCTGTCAGCAGCTTTCTCCCCCCCTAGAAGCTGACTTGCAGGACCCCAGGATTATGTTGCTGCTCAGCAGAAAAGGATCGCTGATGTCAAAATGGGAAGTGGTAGAAGAAGAGCCATGGGAAAGAAATGCAATAAAATAATGAATGCTTTTGTGGGCCAGATTTTACAAGGTGGATGTGGGGAAAACATTGATTTCCCCACATCCTGAGTACATTGATTTCCACAATGTTGTGCTGGTATTTCTTTCAGGTAGGGAGAAATACTTACTTTCCCACTCAGGAATCTCCCAGCAGCTCCCCAAATGTAGTCAAGTTGTTTCCACAAAGCACGGATAAAAGGCCTGTTAAAGAACTACTCATTTCCCGGTCTATGATGGGATTTTCTGTCCCTTTTTCTTTTCATGTTGCCACTCTAAACTATGTATCTGGCCTGATTTTTAGGCAAAATTACATTTTAAAAATCTAATACTGAATCTCCAATGAAACAACTGCTGTGAAATGATATAAACATATCTGTCTAAACAATAAAATTGGGCCAAAAATACAAGCACAGTAGTGCCGAACTAGTTTAGTCCCAAATTAATTTCAGTTCCCTCTGGTCAGGTATCTTTTGTGGCCATTTTCTACAAATGTAACTAGAATGTCTACAATTCTCTACAAATATAACTAACCAAAACACTTGTGGGCTGAGGGAAAATCTGTTTGTATACGTAAATACTCAGAATTTTTCCCCGTTTCCTTTCCTAAGCTTCCACTTCAGAAACCTGATATTGTCAGTCAGCAGTTAAATGGGAAACTATGCCATGTAACTAGTGACTAATTGAACATTGATAAACAGGGAGCAAGAAATAAAGTACAGTATTAGCATATTAGAGTATTTTAATTTTGAGTAGTAAAAAGGTCAGGTTTTGACTGCAACCAAGAAAAGAGGCAAACTTCATCAAATTATTTCAGTGGAATAATTTACACATCTCTCAAATACACCAGAAAATTAAATTGGGTGTATCATTTTACTGGTATTTGTTTGTATTTGGTAATTTCCAGTTTAGTGGAGCCTTCTGAGTCTGTTCCCAAGAACAAAACTAGAAACAAAGGATGGCTTTCAGAGGTTAATTATGGTTACTGTTTCTGATATTCTTGGCAAGAACATACAGGCAACATAAAAACCATTAAAAGCATTTGCAGATGGGCCAATTCTTCTAAAGTGTATTTCTGTATGAGTGAAACAGAGAAGATAAGGGTAGTAGTAGCTTTTGCTTCCTCTTCTCTGAAGTCTCATTACATCTACCAGACTGGTGCCCCTCCTCACTCCACTGTTTTTCTTAACAGTAAAAATATACAGTCTATTAGCCACTGGATTACTGGTGTTCCAGTGATACGCTGTTTCAGTAGCCCTGATGTTCCAGATAATTAATAGGTTGTTTAGGTAGAACTTACTAATAAAAAACTATTTTCTCAGGTTTTTTTATGGCAAACGTGAAACAGCATTGGAAAACAAGTGATCAGTGTGTACAAATGAGTTTTTCCACTTAGTACCATGAAAAAGCATACTGTATACGATGTACATGAGATGAAATGAGCCTGAGCTTCAAAGATACTTTCATTAGCTTCTAGAATTAGGTAATACTTATGACCATAAGGAGTTGGTACACCAAATCTCAGCAATCCTTTCACAGTTTATTGTCTTTGAGGTACTGAAATACATTAAAATGCGTAACAGCAGTGTTTCGTTTCCCTGCTCATTAGAGCAGCACAAAACTAATAGTAATATTGTTGTAACTTGACAAAGCCATCTAAATCCATGCATGTTTTCTTGTGAAAGCTTCCTAAACATGCTGCTAAATCCTCTAAAAAACTACTAAATGGCTTTGGCAACCATTAGCACAGCATAAGCAGTGGAACTCTTTTCAGTAAGTGAACAAACAGAGAAAATATGCTGAATGGCTGGACAAATGTGTTTCAGCTGGCTCTTTCATTTACAGATATAAGGGAGCAGTCAATATCAATCACTGTTTTCCCTGTTGCACTGGAAATCACAATATCTCTTTTCATTCCACAAGCTCTTTTCACCACAGTAATGTCTTTAGAATGACACTGGCATCAGTCTGTTTCCGCTGTCTGAAGTCCAGAGAGCTTAAAAACACATTTCAGGGTATGAGACCTTAACCCTCTTCCCTTTCTACACACCCCTCTCCTCCTAGCTTTCCTCTTTGAATTAATTGTTTTTTCTCTCCCAGCATAGGATTTAAGGTGGAAAGCAGTCACAAGACCTGGGACTATCTGTTCTTGTGTTTTAGGGACAGAGATATTTGTCAGATTGGTTGTGCCTACATATTGGAATTTTCATGTCTCAACTGTTGCAGAGAGTTGAAAAACACAAGGCTAGCATGACAACCAAAAGTAATTGTAATACTTTAAATAAAGTGCAGTGTTGTTGAATCTAAAGTTTAATCAACAGGCTCATTTTTAGAAGTTTTGAGCACCTATAAGTCCCACTAATTTCAAAAGAAAGGGAGTTACTAAGCTTACGCAGGAAATCAGGCTGTTGGCATACACACATGTTCTTTAGTGACGACGTAACTTAGAACTGATTATATATAAATTATTTTTTTGTCTTTATTTGCAGATAACGGCAGTCTGTAGAGAAGCAGCCCTCCTAGCTCTTCAGGAAGATATGCAGGCGAAATGTATTATGAGAAAACATTTTCAGCAAGCATTGACTATTGTGAGGCCTAGAATTCCTGATTCACTTATACAGTTTTATTCAAACTATCACCAGGAGAGTGGACTGCATGCACTCTGAGAAGTGAATACATATATGCGTGGACCCATTATGTACATCTTTGTAAAGTTCTTGTGTGCCAAAGAATTTCTTATTGTGAATTCAATGAACTCTAAGGCAAAAGCTTCATAATAATTATTTGTGGTGACTGGGTATTGTATGAGCTAAGTATATACTGGTAACTTTACAATAAAATAGCATAATTGGAATTGCTGTAATTCAGACTGCTCTTTGCACTAGCTTTGTCTAAAAAGAAATGCTGTCAGAAGAAAAAAGAATGACAACGTTCCTAATTTTTAGGCTGACCCTTAATCTTCTGGATGAGTTTTGCAGTAGTAACAAGTGTCCCTACATTCTCAATGTTTGTGTGTCTGGATGTCAATTTCATGCCAAGGAACATCACATTGCTGACAAGAAAGGCACAGAGCTTGGGAGTGGCATGAATACATGCTGAAAATTATACTGAAATCTTTTGATTTATGACACCTCAAAAAGTTGCCAAACAGGCCTGCCAGACATCCAAGCGTTCCGAGAAAAAGTTAAGGTGTCTTGATTGATTACAGTGCATGGTTTAACTTCAGTCTCAGGTACCTCCTATACAAACATTATAAGATCAAAATAGAAATTATAGGGACAGATTTTAGAAGCACAGCATTAGGTCTTTAATGAAGACTGGGGAAAAAGGATTACTTTTAATTCTTGGTTACTTTATAATCAATTCTAGGAATATGTGAATTCATTTGTAGTTGAAGAATGAATATAGTATCTTGTTGATTAGGCAAAAGGTACTTTATGAATCAATGCATTTTCTTATATTTGTTGTTTTTTCATACACAGGATTATTTATCTTACCAAATACTCTTTTTATCTATAGAGGAGATATTGTAAAATAAGATGTAAAAGAAGCTTTAGAGAGAGAGTCATTATTTCTTGATATGTAGCAAAAGATTAAATCATCAAAGAATATGCATTTAAACTTTACCACTAAAAAATAGCTTTGGAAATTCGTAAGAAAATGTAATGAATAAGGTTATCTGTTGTAATTGACCACAAATATTGTGGAGACAGATACAGATTTAAAAATTATTTCGTCTCTATTTTGATTATTGAAACCACTTTGCATTCCTTCTTAGACATTAAAACCACTTTGGATTTCTTCTTAGACATGTATTCTCGCATCGAGTTGCAAAAACTGACCAAGCAGCACTAGTTGAAGATTTTTTTCCCCTGGCTATGGAAAGAAAAGATATTATATACCAGATATGATGCTACAGAGGCAGAATAATCATAATCAATGATAAATTTAAAAAGTCATATGATTTAGTTTTAGTTAGTAATTGCACACTTTCCTAATGTGTTTTTTTCCAGTGAAATGGAAAGGGTTGAAACATTAGCTAAATTGTGCTGTTACCTGTTGATATAATCAGGTAAAATCATTTCAGGTGTTATCATCTGTTGTTTTATTTTTTAATTTTGTTATTGTTGGCTGTGAAGACATCAGCTTCCTATGGTAATTACAGATGTGTTTATGCAAAAGTTTTATCTCTTTCTAATCTAGATTTTACTGTTTTCTCAGTTCCACTCTTACTAAATACAGCCTTGAATGGGAGATCCTCGCTTTAAATATCAAACATTTCTCTGATTTTTTTTATAATTTACTCTTGCTACAAGGAACATTTCAGATTGCTATAACCAAGAGATTATTGGGGGCAGAATTGTTTACTTTGCGTTTCATAGTACTTAGTGTATAGGCAGTTTCACTCTTTCTATGTTGTTTGCAAGGGTCTTTCACATAGCACCAGGTGAGAGAGAAAAACATTAAAGAAATAGTATAGTGGAAAATGTGGAAGAGGGACCCTGAGCCAGGTGTATTACCTGCAGTTATTTTTACCTTTTTTTTTTTTTTTTAATAAAATGGCTGTACTTCTAGTTGACGTTATTCCTTTAAAGCAGTGGTTTTCAGCCTTTTTGGATTCAGTGCACCCCTCTGAAAATGCTAGGTCTTGTTTTGCTCATATTTTTTACTTTACAAAATACTAGAGCAATTTTTCTGTTGCATAGAACACAGATGGACCACAACAGGTCAGCATGCATTTAACACTATGGATTTCTGTTGGAAATCTCTGGGTTTATCTTGTCAATCATGTTTGCAAACCTAACAGTACTGACACTGCTGGTACCCCCTGTTGGGGGAGGGGTCCTTAATCCTTAACATTGTAAACAAACACTGTTGACAAATGTGATTGCCTTTACAGATACTCTACATGCTGGTCTCGAGGAGAAATAAGTAATTATTGTTGTTTGGGACATGCTTTGATACCATAGTAAAAGGCATCAGTATGGAAACCTAGAGTAGTGCTTCTCAACCTATTTAGACTCAAAGCACCCCTTGTTAAACTCTAGGAACACCCTGGAAAATGTCACCTTAGTTTTCGCTCAATAACAGAGTGACTCTTCTGTTGCAAAGAACTCAGAAAGACCACACAACAGAGCAGAGTATTTTTTTAACATGATGGATTCCCATTTGAAATCTCTGGGTTTATCTTGTGAATTACGTTTGCACTCCTAAAAGGGTTAACATTCTGTGGCACCCCATGGCATGCTTGACAAGATCTCAGGGCACCGCAGAATGATGTGGCTTCCTGATTGAGAATCACTGACAGAGAAAGGGAGGTGAGACTTGCAGCCAGTTCTGTAAGTGAGAGTCCTGTTGCCATCAGTGAAACCTCCCTGTATGATAGGGAGGCTGCAGATTTGGGAGTGTTGGACATTAGAAATGGAGAGGGATTCTGGTGCCTGGTTGTCCTTTCTGCTTTGAAAAATTGTATTCTAGATTTCTTTTTTTTAGCTACAGCTTGCTTCCCTTGTTATGCCAGATCTCCTGTTTGATTTATTGAATGTTAAATATGAAAAGGTTTCCCTTATTGCTGCATTTTTGGAATACACAAAGCAGTTTCAGATTGATTTTTAACTTGATTTTCTTTCAATTCGTGGCATATGTATAAAATTAATAAACAATACATTGCTATCAAATACAAGTTTTGGGAAATTCAGATGATTCTATGCCAATTGGAAGCTTTCTTCATCCTAATAGTGGATAATCTGAGATTTAAATAATGTATGATAGCACAAACTTAGTTTCTTATGACAGACACAGTCCAGAGTTATCATCAAATAACAATTCAGAGCCTTCTCATCAGAATCAAGAGTTCATCTGCAACAAAACAAAATTTCAAACCATTTTGAAACTGCTTTGGAAAATACTGTTGCAAAACAGTGCCTGAAAAAGGCTTGAATTTGCATGATGTCCTGATCCTATAGAGCAGTGATTCTCAACCAGGTGCCGGGGCACACTGGTGTGCAGAGAGATTCTTTGAAGGGTGCCCCAAGAAGTGTGAAGAGATAAAGTCTGAGGTGATAAGCAGATAAAGGCAGGCTCAGGCTTTCCCTCTGTAACTGCTCCCAAACTGCCTGCCCCCCTGCAAGGAGGTAAGCCCTGCAACATAATAAATTCATTTTTGAAATGGGGTATTATTCAATTCACAAAGGCTATGGAGGACTGCCTTGAGTCTGAAAAGGGGGTGCCTTGTGTCTAGAAAGATTGAGAACCATTCCTGTAGAGGGTTAAATGTTGTGGACTCCAACTGATTAACGAATGTGGGGATGGTAGGACATGGCACTCTGAATTACATCATTATTTTTATGTCATCATTTTCTTTAATACAATTCAGAGCAAAATTTTCCACAGCCTGCTTTACCAGCACATGGTTCTTTAGAGTTGCACCAGTCTCTTGCAGGAAATCATATAAACCTCATGACCTGTACCATTAATGCTCAAACCAGGGTGATGCAGCACCCTGGGGTGCCATGAGATTCTCTTAAGGGTACTGCTCAATATTAGCACAGTTAGGTATGCAAACAGCTACACCTGATTCACAAGCTAAACTCAGAGATTTCAAATAAGAATCCATAGTGTCAAAAATATCCTGATGTGTTGTGGTCTTTTTGAGTTCTTTGCAACAGATAAAATTGCTCTGTTATTTTTCTGTCAAAAAGCAAGTGAAAATTAAGTCCTGGCATTTTCTGAGGGTGCCTTGAGTCTAAAAAGGTTTAGCACCATTGACCTAGGCATGGTAGGATGAAACCTGGAATGTGATGCTTAATTCTATTGATTTGGTTCTTGTAGGTTAATTGCCTAGAATATTGTTTGCTTTTATATGATATAATTCTTGCAACAAACACGAGTTTCATGAACAAGGAAAGTCCATTATGAAACAGAATATATCCCCCTTTCTCTCAAAGTAATTCTAATGCTTATTTTTTAATATTCTGTAGGGATAAATATGGGCTTCTCCTGCCCTTTATATCTCAAAGTTTGTCTTTGGCCTAACTACTGTTTGAATTGTGGCATTGTTCATGTTAAATTGTTTTTTTCTGCATTTCAGGCACATTTTGTTTAAATACAAAGTTTAACCTTTTTCTCCAATAACAACATCTTTCAAAATGGCAAAAGTATCTTTTGGCATGTTTGCTAAAAATGACCAGGAGAATATTTATAAACAAAATATTAAAATGTTTTCACTTCACTTGAAAAAAAGTTCAGTCTTGCATTTTTCCTAATGCATAAAACAGATTTTCACTGTAAGTACAATGTACAGTTTTTTAAATTGTGGAAAAAGAAGGTAGTGCATTTGAATAATTTCCTGTGACTCCTTAATTGGAGTAGAATAAAATGTATAGGTAGTTCAAAGACTAGGGGCAAACAACAGGGATAAAATAAAGATTATTTTAAGGAAGTTTATTCAAGAATATTATTTACTGGATTCCAAGATGAGGTTGGGTGGCAGGTGGTGGGACATGTGGAGGGGCAGGCACCACAGAGATGGGGAGAGCAGGGGCAGGGTTTCAAAGGGCTGGGAAGGCAACAGGCTGGAGCAGGCCACTTGCCTCCCCACCACTTACCCCCTGCCACTGCTTTCTCTGTGGCAGCAAGCAGGTAGGAACATATTTAAGATGACACTCCAAAAATTAGGTTCAATACATGGATAATTAAAACAAAATTATAATTTTCCATATATAGAATCTAATGGGGGTCATCTAAAATTCAAAGTCATCTTGGATTTGAGTAAATATGGTAGTTAAATGTATCTTTTAAAGGTGAGTGTTCTGCTCTGCATTCTCTATATCTCTGCTCTTGGTTTCTTATTTATTATGAATGTCAAACTCTGGTTCTTCTGCTTCAGAAACCAGGCATCAAGCAGAACATGTCCATTACTAAACATCACTTGGCTAGAGCTTTATGGAATGGCTGTGCTTGGAATGTGTTTTCTTATCGAACACGGTTCAGTCTCAATTCTGGTGGAGTGCAGATGATAGTAATGGGAGAAGAGAACTGCTGAGAACATTCCTGCACATAGTGAACTTTTAGCTGAGGGGAGTGAGCACTGCAACTAAGGTGGTTAGGAAAAACCTGCTCTCTGTTGGCAATCTTGATTTATTAGAACTGTTAGACATATTTGTTTTTTGGCTTTCATGAAGCAAGAGACTGCTTTCTTGGATGGAACAGCACTGCATGAAAACAAAAAGGAAAACAACAGATTTTAAGGAGTGTAGGATCAAGTATGAGACAAGTAAAAAGGACCTAAATCTGTGCACTTAATACTTCTGAAAACCAGGCCCTTCGAATTGAGCACTCAGAATCAGTTATCATATTTGAATATCTTGATCAAAGCTTCCCAGACAAATTGGGCCAGACAGTGATGGACAGAAGTCAAGAATTTGGCTCATTTAATAAAAATATCCCAAATTTGGATCAAACTAAACTTCTCTAAAGCTTTTAAGGGCTTCTCTTATGTCATGTGTTATATTCTATTCCTGTATGTTTATATCTATATCTGTATATATCTCTAAATATGTATACGTATATTCAGAGATAGGTAGACAGATGCATAGATATGCACGCTTATATTGTATGAATTATATTCAGAAACATGGAGAGTTTTATAAAATGCTGTTATCAAAGTGTCATGACTGAAGGACAGGTTTCTGATTAAAACAACATTTTAAAATGTTTTATGTAAACACAGTAAATTTTAAAAATTCCTAATATCACTATATTAGTTAACACATACAATCTTAGCCTAAAATGGATTCCTCTCTTGCTTGTTTTTTTAATTTTTTTATCATTGTATTGCATTTTTCAGTGTTGTAGCTTACAAGAATGAATTTAGTGCAGTGTTTAGTGGAGTGCTTTAAGCTCTTCAGATGAGAAGCTCTACATAACTGTGAAATAACATTCTTTTTTCCAGCTATAATTTGCCTTTAATTCTCACATTTTAAAGCTCTAAGTTGCATAGAGGGAAATGGGACATGTTTTGTACCAGTTGTTGAAAAGGATATAAAACTAATGTAGTTAGTATATCCTGTTGCTCCATCACCCTTCTCTACAAACTCCTTGTAGCAGATATGGGACCAGGGGAAGGTGGTAGGATTACTACTTGCTTCAGATGTTCTCAGATGATCTGTCAGCATTGTGGACAGTATAAACAGATGGCATATTTTTAAAACATCCCAAACCTGCTGTGAACTACACTGACTGAGCCCATGACCAGTGAAGAACCCATCTTTGGATCGGCTAAAACTCATTCCTGTGCTCCATAACTATGCACAGCAAATGCTGTGTGCAGGAAAAGATCTGGGTATACTGTGAAGAACAAAGGTATCAAACACATCCAACTGTGTGGACCACCTTGAGTGGCTTGGGGCCAGGTCACAAGCTGAATCTGGCCCAGGAACTGGCTCACATTCCAGATCCAGCGCATGTCCCATGGTGACTGGAGTTGGTGCCATATGTGGTATATGTCCCAGACTGACCACTCCAGGACCACATGCAGCACCTACTCCATGCCAGATCTAGCACATGTCCCTGTGTGGCCAGAGCAGATGACCCATGCAAAGCAGCCCTGGAGTGGCTGGATGGGCACCAGGTGCAGTGCCCCCTCCAGCCATGCTGGGACTGTGCTGTGTGTGGTGTCTGCCCCAGCTTGTGTTCTGGAGCATGCAACTCGTGCCTAGGAGAAGTCAGTCTGAGACCACACTGCATATGGTGCCCACAGCAGCCATTACAGGGACATGTTGCACATGGCGCTTGCTTTGGCCACTGGGCCACATGCTGGATCTGGCACGAAATGGACATGCTGGAGCAGGTGCCGCATGCAGTGTGATCCCAAAACAGCTGGAACAGGCACCACATGGAGCATGTGGAGCCATCTGATGTACTCTGAAGGCTGCCTGTGAGGCTGCTTGAGACCCCTGGGCAGCACTGTGGGGCCAGATGATAGGCCGCAGGCCATATCTTTGACATCCCTGTTTTAGAAGGTTAATTTTATGTTGGTAGCTTTATTCGCCCTTGATATGAAAAGAAGTAATGTGAATTCAGCATAACAATAAGTATCACAATTAATATAAAAATGGAGCATTTTTAAGGATTGTTTCTAATCCATAAACTCAGATAAAGAACATAATTTATTTCTAATGGGTAGGTGAGAAAGACATGCAGAGTTGCAATTACTTTATTTGGTTTTGGCTTTGAATGGTAGAGTTAACATCTGGAAGACAAATAATGCTTTTTAGTGTTACAGCTGAAACCAAATTCTAATCTTGGATTTGTGTCTGCTGTCTCTGCAACTTCTGTTGATTCATTTATTAATCTTTTCTTTAGGAAGACTAAGCCATGCATTTTCTCTTGGGATTTATATGTTTCTGGGCAAAATATTTTAAACTGTCATTCTTCCCTCTACATTTTAATACACTGACTCCAAAGTTCTAATAAATGAAGGATGTGTGTGTGAATACATACGAATTATTTCCTTTTGCAACTTTAGTCTATGATATTCAGTGGATCATACAAGTCACAGTCAAGTTGAACAGGCATAGTCTGTTTTTGGATGATGGTCCTCCAGTGATAGTGACTAACCAGGGGAGGGCGGGGCGGGGTGGGGGGTGGGAAGGGGGTTTTTCCCTTAAACTGGAATTGAGTTTTTGCTCCAACAGGCTGTTAAGGGGTACTGGCCACCTGTGATCATTTGAAAACCATGCTACTAAGAGCAAAGACATCAAATTCACTGTTTTATCTACCTTGTGTAATATCATCCTTCCTACCTAAACATTTTTGGAAAAAAAAACTACTGTATTCTTCTCCTGTCAGAAATCATGTCTTGCATGGCTGTGCACTGTTAAAAACAAACACCTTCCAGCTTATCCCCTTTATCACTCCAGAAAGTGGTTTCACTTAACTATTGGGTGAAGTGATCATTGTGCGTAGCTTGCATGTCAGCTAAGCGTGAAAAGGGCTTTGCTACCCCTGAAGATTAAAGATAAGGTGTATTAATATAAAATGCAAATGATGGCTCTGGGATATGCAGTACTAGAACATCCCAACACTGATGTGGAAGGGCTGCTCTAATAGTGTCATAGTCTGTTGTGAGAAATTCTAGAAAAGGTTTTGATAGGTGAGCGGACTCAAGGGCTGCAAGGGAAAGATATCATGCTTCCTCTGCAGCATTATTCTGCATCAGACTTTGTATACTGTGCCTTTAAATGGAAAGGAATCAAATTGATAGCAGCTACAAGAGTAAAAGATTACTAATATATACAATTTGTGTGTGATAAGGCCTAGGGGTTCTGGGGCAGATTAGCAAGCAAACAAATCCTTTAATGTCCTGGAATGCTTCTACCAGCATAAACAGGGATTATTCTCTCAAACCAGCAATTTTTTATCATTTCAAAAACCTTTGCAATACAGGCTTTTTTCCTTTAAGTGAAGAGACCCTGTGACTATTGGTTGCGTTCTTGGCATATTCACACAGAAGACAGTACAATATTAAGTATTTTCTTTTTGTTAAGGGAGTTGCTTACACTTTATCCAAAATGTGTAACATATCTAACATTTTCTTCAGACTGGAGAAGACATGTTTCAACTGTCTGCTTTTCATTTAAAAGAGTAAGACCAATTGGTTACCTCAGACTCATTCCACTCTCATTCTTTTATCCAATGCAATTTTGTAAAAAGCAACTTTTGTTGATATGTAAGGCATCTTAGTAACCGGTTACACTTTTACTACAGAAGGGTGTTTTATTTTCCTGAGGAATGAATAGTAATCAAGAATCAGTTGGTAGTGCCAAGTGCCTTGATAACACAATTGCCTGCATACAGCTTTGTTAGGCCCCTTCCTGCACTTCCCAGAGAAAATTAAAAGAAGATGTAGCTGATGGAGTTTTCCTTTTTCCAAGTTTAACTCATATGGGGCAAAATTTTCAACTCCCTGTCTCATAGGTAATGGGAAGGGAAGAATTCAAATGAAAAAGAGGAATTGATTAAAAAAAACTAGGGCAAGGGGGAGCAGGGGAGAACAGTAGAAAAACAAACAGGAATCAGGATTACTCTTATATTAAACACTTACTGATTTAGACATAAAAGGGGAGGGTTAAAGATAGGAGACCCAAGTTGGAAGAGTTCCTGATACCCCAAAAAATGGTCAGTATCTTGCTACCTGCTGGCACTGGAGGCAGGGT